CCCCCTCCCCCTCCGCCCTCCCCCCCTCGCGTACGACTGTGGGCTGAATTTGATAGGCTTATATTGTGTTTATGCTAGGGTCATTCTTTGAAAATTTCAGCCTCCCAGCCTTGCTAGTTCCCGACTTAGCTATTTTCCCGCCAAAAAATTTCACGGGGCCGTACGTGAGAACCACAAAAGACTGGGGACTGAATTTCATAATTTTAAGTCGTACATGGGCTGGGAATATTCCCTGAAAATCTCAGCCCCCAAACTTTGCTGGTTCCCGAATTAGCCATTTCCCCACCAAAAAATTTCACGGGGCTGTGTGGGGGAACCACGCATATCTGGAGGTTGAATATGAAATCTTCGAGTTATATTTGGACAGGGAGCATAACCTCGGAATTTCAGATTTTTATCTTTTCTTGTTTCCGAGTTATCAGTTTTCCCGCCAAAACTTTCACCCCCTCGTATGCGGGGCCCAGACTTGCGTGGGGGTTGGTACCGCGGTTTTAGGGTGGCACTTGGCCGGGGAACTACTAGCAAAATCATGGCGCTGGAACTTGCTTGGTTGCCGAGTTGAATACTCAGACAGACGAACACACACACACAAATACACACACACGCAAACATACACACACACACGTACATACACAAACATGGTCGTCGCAATTTGCGTTTTTATGCGTTTTGTACTGTGTAACAGCAGTACAAAACGCATATTGTTACGGGGTTGTCTGTGTGTGTGTGTGCGTCCGTAGCAACTTGTCCGCAACTTTCAACTCGGAACCACAAAAGCTAGGAAGCTGAAAATTTAGGGTAACGACCCCCGCCCACGTGTGATCTCGCAAATTTAAATTCAGCCTCCCCGTACCCGCGGGTAACACGTACGGCCCCGTGAAGGTTTTTTACGGGTAAATTAATATTTCGGGAACCACGGAGTCTAGGAGGCTGAAATTTTAGGGTAATTACCCCCTGCCAACGCTCAATCTTGTCCATTTAAATTCAGCCTTAACGCACCCGCGGGTAACACGTGTGGTCCCGTGAAAATTTTTTACGGATAAATTATTATCTCGGGAACCACGAGGTCTAGGGAGCTGAAATTCTGGGGTAATGACCCCCTGCCCACGCTTAACCTTACCTATTCAAATTCAGCGTTCCAGCGCTCTTCAGTATCACCTATGGCCTCGTGAAAATTTTGGTGGGCAAACTATTAACTCGGGAATCACGGAAAGATATTCACCATTCAAGGTTTCGAATTTAGCTTTCATGCGCTGGTACGTGAAATTTTTAACTGTTTTCTAATGTTTGAACTATTTTTGCATAGA